CCCCAAAACCCCAAAACCCCAAAACCCCACCTTAACTTCGCATATTGAATATTTTATAATGGGAAGCATTTTGGAAAGATGTTGCACAAAGAATGATTACCACGCCCTCAGTGGTGTCTCAGACAACCCCATCTTCTTCGATAATGGAAAGACAATGGAAGAGGAAAAGGTCGAAGACAGTCTTTACAACAAGAAATAAGAAAAAGATCAGGTTCTCTGATTCTTACTTCAATAATTTTCTTGAAAGTATGGACGCAGAAAAAGCTGACAACTATTTACAGGTTGAGAAAATGGGAAGAAGTAAGAGCATTGTCACTTCTCCCTACCTCAAGAGAAGAATGATCAAAGAAAACATTCGGAAGGTTTACAAAATTAGGAAATGAATAGGCACAGGGCAGTTTGGGTCTGTCAGATTAGCCTCTCCTTATTCTAATCTCAAGGAAAAGTATGCGATTAAGAGTATTCCCAGAGACTCCAATGAAGAGTATATCAAACAACTGGAAAAAGAGCTCAGAATTCTTAAGGATGTTGATCATCCTAATATTATTAAATTCCTAGAAACTTATCAAGACCAAAAATATTACCACTTTGTGATTGAATATTGAAGTGGAGGAGAGCTATTTAACAGATTGGCTGAACTCGGTTCTTTGTCAGAGACAGTCGCTGCTAGTATAATCAAATAAATTAGTTTCAGCAATTGCCCATCTTCATGATAAAGATATATGCCACAGAGACCTGAAGCCAGAAAACATTTTATTTACAAGTAAAGATCCTGATGCTGAAATTAAGCTGATCGATTTTGGACTTAGCACTTATGCTAGGAAAGATAGAATTATGAAATCAAAGGTAGGAACTCCTTTTTATGTTGCACCAGAAGTTCTAGAAGGAGAATACCAAAAATCCTGTGACATGTGGAGCATTGGAGTTATCACTTATGTCATCTTATGAGGATATCCTCCTTTCTATGGGAAAACTGATGAAGAGATATACCAAAAAATTGAAGCTTTAGATTATGAATTTCCTATCAAAGACTGGAAGAAGATATCTCCTTCTGCAAAAGATTTTATTAATAAACTCCTTCTAAAAGATCCCTTAAAACGAATGAATCCTACCCAAGCGATGAAGCATACCTGGTTGATGCCCTCTGAAAATGAAAACATGTTAGATCTAGAGGTTATCAACAGACTTAAGAGCTTCCAAGCCCCAAGAAGACTTCAGACTGAATTTTTGCTTGTGCTTTCCAACTATATAAAAGCTGATGAAGTTGAAAGAATTAGAAAGACTTTCGAAGCTATTGATATTGATTACTCTGGATGGATCAGTATGGAGGAATTAAAAACTGCCCTTGAAGATACAGAAGGCAGCTCTCAAATTGAATCTATCATGGACAACATTGATTTTGACAAAAATGGAGAAATTAACTACAGTGAATTCTTAGCAGCCACTATTGACAGGAAATATTTTGAATCGAAGGAAACAGTTCACACAATTTTCAAACATTTTGACATTGAAAACAAAGGTGTCATAACTCCTGAGTCATTGAAGAAGTCATTCCAAAGAGGAAGTAAGAGTTATACTCAAGAAGAGATCGAAGACATGATTTCAGAGGTAACTGGAAAGAAAGAAATCAATCTGAAGGACTTCAAGGAGATTCTTTCTCAGCCTATTTAATCACAGTGATGAAGAATTTATTAATTCAGTTATTTCAACAATAATTTGTTCCCAGGGGTTTTGGGGTTTTGGGGTTTTGGGGTTTTGGGGTTTTGGGGTTTTGGGGTTTTGGGG